AAAGAATGTTTTCTTCTGTGTTTAAAACTTTTCTTGAGTTCTTACAATAGTGGTCTCATACAATATTTGTCCTTTTGCGACTAATTTCACTCAGCATAATGCCTTCCAGGTTCATCCATGTTATGTTTTGTGGATTCATGGTTGTTCTTTATCGTTGTGTAGTATTCCATTGTGTGAATATACCACAGTTTGTTTTTTCCATTCATCTGTTGATGGGCATCTAGGTTGTTTCCATCTTTTTGCTATTGTGAGCAGTGCTGCCGTGAACATGGGTGTGCATATTATCTATTTGTGCAACGGCTCTTATTTCTCCAGCATATATTCTAAGGAGTGGGATTGCTAGATCTTATGGTACTTCTATTTCTAGCTTTATAAGGAAGCGTCAAATCGATTTCCAAAGTGGCTGTACCATTTTACGTTCCCACTAGCAGTGTGTAAGTGCTGCAGTCTCTCCACAACCTCTCCAACATTTATTATTTTGAGAACACACACTTTTATGTGTAAAATAGAATCTTTTTAAATGAATCGATTTTGCTTTTAAAAGATAATCCTCTGGGTAAAGCTTTTCGAATTGGAAACAAATAACCCAGTCCAAATATTTTCCTCTCATTTATTTTTTAATGAAAACCCACATTAGGAAAACAGACCCTAAAGGTAGTAGTAAAGCTAATACTGGTTCTCTGGAATGGGGCTGGTTGGTAGCAAAAGTAGAGTGCTAGATTAGTGGAATCCCGTGAGCCATCCTGGGCGTTTAGAAGTGTTGGCCCAGGCTTGGCTGGCTGGCTGGGCGTTTTTCTTGGGTGCACCCTTGAGCCATAGGAGGTCAGAGAGCCTTGACCCCGAGGCCATCCCTGCAGGTCTGTGACAGCAAATCCAAGAGCAAGGAGCCCCATGAGCTGGTGAGCAACAGCCCCCACCGAGAGGCCAGTCCCATGCTTGGTGCTAAGGACGCTGTGCAGGGCAAGGACACGGTGGAGGAGGAAGCCCCAGAGGAGCGGGAGAGCATCGAGGCCACCCAGAGCAGGACTGGCAAGGCCACCAGAACAGGAGAGACGCCTGTTCCAGGTGAGCGATCTGACTGGCTGTCCCAGTGTCCCAAGCCAACCCAGCCCTCCTCCCTTTCTTTCTCACCTACTCTAAGGGGGACCCTCTGAGCTTGGGGATGCCTCTTTTCCTAACAGACCAATGTGCAGCCTTAATTTTCCTCCCTGCAGCCTCAATCCTCTTGGCAGAAGTTAACTGCTGGAGTCTCCTGCTGCAGCAGTGTGCTCATGTCCCCGTTCCTGGAGCCTTCCCTGTCCCTAGGTCCTCTCTGGTCTGCGTTCTAAAGACTAGTGACTCTCAGCTTGGCAGTGGGGCTTTCTCCTCTTCCCCCCTCAATAGCTCACCAGGGTGACCCTGTGGTGATTTGTCATTCTTAAGTGCATTTCGACCCTGTCCGTATCCTTAGGGCCTTATTTTCCTCCTAAGCAGGACTGGCAGTGGAGAGCACTTTGCTGTCCCCTCGAGAAGTGACCCCTACAGACCGACTCCTCCTGGATGGCCCACCGCCTTGCTCACCAGACACTCCTCAGCTTTTCCACCAGACTGTTAAGAGAAATCAGGCTGGGCCGGAGGCTGCCTCCTATGCCAAGGCATCCCCCGAACTTCACAGAGACAGGGAGGGCCACGAGGCAGTGGGGGAGTCAGAGACTTCCAGGCTTGTCTGGGATGCTTCAGAAACTGAGCCATTGCCGGGGACTGTGGAGCTCCCGGCTTCCTTCCTGAGCCCTGTTTCTCCAAGGACCAGAGACATAGCGAGAAGCCAGGTGTCTGGGAAAGCAGACACTCAGGAGAGCTGGCTGTCCTTAGGCAGAGCTGGGGTGAAGACAGCAGACAGGATGTCCCCTGTCCGTGAATCATCTTCATCGGGAACTGACACCTCAGAGACTTCTCCTACAACCCTTAGAGGGAGTCTGGACAAGGACAGTGGCACGCAGGGCAGAGGCCCAGAAGGGGAGCAGCTGCCGAAGGCCACAGAAGCTACCGTATGTGCCAACAACAGCAAGGTCAGCTCCACAGGGGAGAAGGTGGTCCTGTGGACAAGGTAGGTGGGGATGCGTGATGCCTGTCTGCTGGAAAGACCTCAGACACAGCCCCGTGGCCGGCTCCCTAGAATTAATCACCATCTGTGGGTTACAGGGAAGCTGACCGTGTGATTCTCACCATGTGCCAGGAACAAGGAGCCCAGCCCCAGACATTTAGCGTCATCTCCCAGCAGCTGGGCAACAAGACCCCTGCTGAGGTAAGCAGAGGAACCAAGGAGGCGGCCTGGCAAGAGGGTGTCTGTGTAAGGGATAGG